ATATTGAAAGGATAACAATTTTAAACACTTTGTTGGGATATAGAGCAATTCTATATTCTGTATTGAATTTTATTAATAATAGTCACTTCTATTATTAGCTCTAATCCTTATCCTAACCCTCAGAAAAAGTTTATCAAGTTCTGCTTCTTTTAGAAGCATTAATGGTAGAAGTAGGAAGGTGTGATAGATGGGGTTGGAGGTGTAACTCAGTTGGTAGAGTGCTAGTTAGTGAGCAAAAGTGCAGGTACCAACTTTGAGACCTGGTCTCAGACCTAAAACAACCCAAAAAACAAAAACAAAAAACACGGGGCTGGGAAGGTGGCTTATCTTGTATGCACGAGGCCCTGGATTCTATTCTTCAGCACCATATAAACAGAAAAATCCAGAAGTGGTACTGTGGCTCAAGTGGTAGATTGCTATCCTTGAGCTGAAGAGCTGAGGGACAGCACCCAGGCCCCGAGTTCAGGCCCCACAACTAACAAAAAACAACAACAACAACAAAAAACAAAAAAACAGGAAAGGAATAGGATCCCAGATTTATTTGGGGATATTTTGTTATTTATGCTAATTAATAATAGTTTTTTTTGGAGGTGGGGGGTCCGGTCGTGGGGCCTGAACTCTAGGTCTGGGTGCTATCCCCCAGCTCTTCAGCTCAAGGCTAGCACTTTACCACTTGAGCCACAACGCCACTTCCAGCTTTTTTCTTTTTGCTTATGTGGTGCTGAGGAATCAAACCCAGGGCCTCAGGCATGTAAGGCAAGCGCTCTACCACTGAGCCACCTTCCCAGCCCTAATAAGAGTTCTTTAGGTTGGCAAATTCTTGAGTATTGAAATGTTAACATAAAAGAGAACATTGTTGTTAATGCCATAGAGCAGGTTTCTTTTTTCTTTTTTTTTTTAAGATATATTAGTGCTGACATGGAAAAGTACAGGGTATTTTGAGGGGAAAAAAACCCAAGGCTTTAAATAAAAAATACAGGGGCTAGGAATGTATCTCAGTGAGAGAATGAATGTCTAGTGTGCACAGATCCTGGGTTTGATCCACTGCACTCAAAAATGAATGGATAGGTAGGTAGGTAGGTAGGTAGATAGATAGATAGATAGATAGATAGATAGATAGATAGATAGATAGATAGATAGATAGATAGATAGATAGGACAGATAAGATAGACATGTTTGCTATATAAATTAGACTATGTATTCAAGTCTTCTGTATTCATGAGTTCTGCATTACCTACCACCAATTGAAAATATTCAGCAAAAAGAATTACATCTATACTAAACAACTGATATTTTTCCCTCATTAATTCCCTAAGCAAATGCAATACAACTGTTTATGTAACATGTTGTTAGGTATTATAATTAGTATTATAATTAGGGCTGATTTTAAAGTATGTGGAGGATGTGCATAGGCTATTTACAGATACTGTGCCATTCTAGATAAGGTACAAAGCATCTACAGTTTCAGTGTCCACAGGCTCCTGGAATTAAGCCCAGGACATGGAGGAATACCATATATTCTGCTGTAGCTGAAGATCTAGATCTGTGCTAGCTAACAGATATGTCCAAGAAAGTGTCTTTGAAATACTATGTTAAAAAAAAATCATTAGCCCAACATGTTGCATTGCATCTAAAAGCTAATATTACATACTGGATTTCATCAGGGACCACATAGGACAGCAGTGTGCAAAAATTCTAATGACCATACTTCCAGATGTGTGGCTGAGAAGAGACTGAGGGCTGGAGTGCTTCCCCACGAGGAAAAGTCTCAATTCTTTAAAATTCCACATAAAAGCAATTAAGACTGAACGTTAATGATGTCACATAGGCTATACATAAAGTATACAAAGACCTTTCACCATAGACGTACAGGTCTCCTTTGGAGACATAGTTTATGGATAAAAACAAACTTACTACTTATAAATACAGGATACTTAATTGCCTGTCTCTACATAATCTGAAAATGTACTTCTTTTAGAATTTTTTTTTGGGGTGGGGGTCGGTCTTGGGTATTGAACTCTGGGCCTAGGCGCTGTCCCTGAGCTCTTCAGCTCAAGGCTAGAGCTCTACCACTTGAGCCACAGTGCCACTTCCAGTTTTCTGGTGGTTAACTGGAGATAAGAGTCTCACAGACATTCCTGCCCAGGCTGGCTTTGAACCATAATCCTGAGTAACTAGGATGACAGGCGTGAGCCACCAGTGCCAGACTAGAATTTTTTTTTAATCTACAATTTTATTAAGACAAAGACTGACAGCATGGTATGAAGTTTATAGTTAGAATTTTCACAGATGACTAACATATATGCCTAGAAAGATTTTATGGTGTAGATCTAGATGCAAGATGTCAAGAATCCATAGAGCTCATGATTTTAGTTAGAGCATTTGGAAGGCCGAGGCAGCAGAATTGAGAGTTCAAGGCCAGCCTAAGCTATATATCAAGACCTTGTCTCAAAAAAAAAAAAAAAAGACCAAAACAAAGAGACATTTGGGGTAGGTGTTAATTCTTAATATTGTTTTGTATCTTTTAAGGAACGCACTGCCCCAGTATGAAAATTAATCTCCTGAGACAAGTGCTTTTTGGGATAATTAAACCCTTGAAGTGACTCCATGAAATTTGTGCTGTGACTGAATCCTGACGCTAATGGTCTCAGAGTTCAAAAAACAAATTGCAAGGCTTTACCCTAAGAGCATGAACACTCACTCCCTCAGCACTCCCAAAATCAAGAGAGTAGCTTAAGTGGACAGATTGATAACAATTGGGGGGGGGGGACGGGTCTTTTGTTTAATTTCAAGATTTAATACCTTTAAGACATCAGAGTGGTCTGCCTGTGTATACTCTTCAATGAAAGACCCCCCTTCAATTCATTTGCCATCTCCAGAGCAGCAGCTTTGTAGCCTCATGGGTAATATGAAGCTGAGTCAGGGAATGCCTCATTCATAGTCATTCACTGCTTTTAAGCAGCCTTTCACAGTCTTCGTTTATGGTGCTAATTAGCTTTCATTTATGAAAGCTAATCTGAGTACAGAACCAAACTATTAGTTCTTTCTATTGTTTCACCATTTCCCCAATCCGCGCTCAAATTTAAACCAAAAATTTAGGCCAAAATCCTACCCATCTTCCTTCCTCCCTGTCCATTCCTCCACTCCCAATAATACACCTATAACAGCCAAAAACTACACACATACAGAAATGTGGTTGACACTATTGGGAAGAAGGCTGTGGCTTGTGGAGATGCTCTTCAAAGATACACACACACACTCTCACACACTTTTGCAAGTTCTGTCCTTCATAGAAGGCCCTTTTTCCTTTCTCAGCAAACTACGGAGTGGGTTGCCTTGAAACACATAACCCTTCCCCCTCACTTGGGATGAGTGTGCCAACTATATAGTATGGAATGGCTGTAAAGTACTTGGAAGGCATAGAAACTATACCAGCTTTTCAAGGAACCTTTTCTCAAGCCACATTTATGGTATCAGAAGTAGAACTCCTTTCTCCCCACTTGAAACCACAGTCAGAGGTGACAGGAGCTGGTGCTTTGGAGAGTTAACTCTTGTCTTTTTTTGGTGTCATCTTCCGAGGGGTAAGAATGCTATTTCAGCCTTTAGTCATAGAAGGATATGACAACTGTGAGCACTTAACATTGGCTTCCTTGGCAGGGACTAGATCAGCCTTACCCGTTTTTTCATTTCATCAGGGACATGAGCTCTCTGTTGGGGTCTGTAGCTCCAGTAACCTGCTCGGGCTCCCAACCCCTGGGCAAAGCCTTGTGGTTTTCTGACTCTTTTTTTCTTTTTCCTTGGTTTTCCTTTCTCTCCTTTATCTTCAGAATCAGCATCTGCTTTACGTTTGCCTCCCTCTGATTTATCTGTCTTATGTGCTGTTTTCTGTGACTGCAGAAATGCAGCAGTGAGGTTGGAGCAGTGCAGATTCTCTTCTGGCTCCCATCTGTTGCTCTTATCTGAGAAACCTTCCACTTTAGGAGGTATTCCACTTTGCCCATTACAACTTGATTTTTTTCCACCACCTCATCATCTTCCTCCTCTTCTAGTACCTCCTCTACTTCTTGTTTTGTTTTATTTCCCATTGGGCCGGCCAGCTTTCTGGTGTAAAGGGTGACACTGCTCAGAGCAGCACTCAAGAGTCAGAGAGGGGGGCTAGGGGGGAGGTAGGGAAGGGATGTGAAGGGTAAACAAAGGAGGAGGCTGCAATGCTTGATAAGAAATGTACGCATTATCCTGCCCATGTAATTGTAACCCCTCTGTACAGTATTTTCACAAAAAAAAATTAAATTAAAAAAAAAAAAAGAGTCAGAGAGGAATTGGTGCTACATTTCCAGTGTAGCACTGCCCAGCAAGTGGTGCCCAGGAAAGCAACATGCTAGGTGGCCACAGTCAAATCATTTCTGAAGTGGCACACCACAGGCCCACTACTGGCCTTCCTCTCTGCCAAACAAATGAGCCTCTGTAGAAAACTTATGATAAAAGTTCCATGTACATTTTGGAGAAAAAGTTGTACTATTGTTAAGAATCAGAAGGGATCAAATGGTTTTAATAGTCTTTCCAGTCCAAAACTGCCAGAATTGAATGAGGCCCTGGTACTTAGAGTATTCTCTTGCTCTTTCTTAGTAAACAGCACCCTACATTAGCAGGTAGATTGCAAGCTCCATGTACAGTAAGTATATCTTTAGCTCATATTTTCATTTTTTTTTGTTTTTATTGACTAGCCAAGGATACAGTTGCCATTGTATTTTCAATTCAATTGTATTTTCATTCATCTTTTGGTGGTGCTCAGGATTGAACCCACGATCTTACACATTCTAGGAAGTACTCTGCCACAAGCTATACCAATTTTAGAATTTTCTCTTCTTTGTTTTAATTTCTTATTAAATAATAGCATTAAAGAAATTAGAATAGATATCAGAGGAGTATGATTTAATTCTTCAGGCCATGGCTGGTGACTTGCTGTCACATTATGTGCTGCCATTTTCTTCTCTCCCCAGAGCCCGGCATTACATCCATATCCCAGTGCACTTCAGACCAGAGGCTGCAGGCAGATTTGAAGCATTGCTTATTATTCAGACAGATGAGGGCAAAAGTGTTGCTGTTCGACTCATTGGTGAAGCCCTTGAAAAAAATTAGAATACATGTTGTATAAATTACCTGTTATATTTGGGAACTTTGTTTTTCTGCACTACAATTATGCTGTTGTATATATATTTGTGTGATAAATTTGATGTGTGTAACTATATATTTTTGTTTATTTGTTTTGAGAAGTTAATCCTGAAAACCTGGCTAAAATATCATGTTTTTAGCACAAAGTATTGTATTAACTTCTACAAAAGAGAAGAGAAATCTATTTTTGCACTGATTATGGTATTCTAAATAAATACAGAATATGTTTGATTGTGGTATATCCAGAAATAAACTTAATTTTCTATTGAACTTGACTTTTTTATATGATGTCCTAAAATGAGGCTATAAGGGCTAGAGGCAAATGCAAGTAGTAGAGCAGCCAAAAATACATGCAGACTATCATCTTATTCTGCTAAATTTCCAAGGTTCTAAATCCGTTCTGTAATTTTTTTTCCCTTACTCTATTCAGCAGTTTCTGCTAAGAAAACCTTTGTCTTTTCCTTCTTAGTAGATTGTTTAGAGTCAAGTCCTCATATTCTGTGCAAATAAAGTGGAGTGAGTGACTGATTTTTCAAGAGCCACTTATAAAACTGGACAGGATAGCTGATCCAGTGTGGGGCCTTTGCAAGCAGCTATTGCAGGACATGGGGTGTGGGGATGGGAGGACTGTTCTGTATGCGTTGGGGAAGGTGGCAAGGATGTGGGAGCAACTGATACATCACCTGGGAGTTGGAGCCCAACCAACAGCCTTCTGAGAAGCAGCACTTTCCCAGGTCATGGGGTCTGCCATTGTATTACTGGTGGGGTATAAAGGCTTCAGGCTTGCAGAGAGCCGCCTGCATGACTTTGACCCAACAACAGTTGAAAACGGTGATCATGAGTTTGATAGAAAAGCAAATCTCTTCTTTCCTTTTCTAACTAATTTTTGCCTTGCATAGAAATTTCGCTTCAAAATCAAGTTGGCAAAAATGTTTTTCTCAAGTTAACCAAGTGGTGCTTTTTTTCTGATGTCCGATTCTGGAGGATTTTGAATGTCACATGTGACATTCCTTCACACTTGAATGTGTGTTTATTTGACAACATTCCGACTCAAAAGTTTTTAAGTGGTGGTGTGTGTTTTAAAAATGGTAGCATGGGTTTGAGTTCTTAAGGATTGTGCCTTAGAGGTTTAAAAAAAAAAAGTTAAAACAACTGAAAACAAAACACTACCAACATCTTGTTTGATTGCAGTTCTTCATCTGTCTCCTTGTCCTGGAAGTATGCTGCCTGGAGTTTTCAGAGCAGTTGGCTCCTGAGCAAGTCATCCCTCAAGCTACTGCAGGCCTCAGAGTAGCTGAGGTACAGGTGTCTAGTGGGCAACCCACCGTGCCAGGGTTCCTGGGTCATTGCTAACATCATTCTATCTGGAAGCTGCTGCCCAGTCTTCCTGGCTCTCCCTACATTGATGCCTCAGGGCTGCTCCAGGCTTGTGTGTCTCCACCTGAGACTTGCTTCCCTGCCATCCTCATGTCTTTCCCTGGCTCTTCTCACCTCAGTAGTCGTCATTCTGAGTTTGTCCCTTCATCCTCTGGTGGGGCCCTGTCTTGCCTCTCAAGCCCTTCCCCACATTCCCACTGATCACTAAGGCTTAGCTTTTCAGTCTCAGGTTCTTCCAGCCAAGCCAATCCCTATCCTGGTTTCCAGAGTTCTTTCCCACACTCTCTAGCTGGCTCCTTACCTCTCAGATCTATTCCTGTCTGCTTCTCCAAGGCCAATACCTGGCCTGTACACAGCCCCTCATTTCGAGTAGTTTCTTATGTGGATGCCAATTAACTGGGGTGTAAGCTCCAAGGGGCAAAGACCTAGACCTCTGCACACCAGGCATTCCCAATACATGGCCAGAACTTTATACAGTGGATGTTGCCAGTGGTTACCAGCAGCTGTGGCCACTTTGGCTGTACACCTCAGTTCTGGAAAGTTCTCAGCAGGTGCCAAGCTGCCTCTTTCCATCCCTATGAGCTTTGTCTCCTCAGGAAGAACTCACCCCCAAGGGATAAGTTCCTCACCAGTCTTCTGCACACATCTAGCAGGGAGAGCCCAACCCTTCCTTCTGCTACAGCTTTCCAATGCTACAAGGGCATCTTTGGAAGCATAGGGGTCTGGTGTGGTGGGACTTCACAGTCCTGGCTTCACAGTTGATACTTGGTTATCAGAGAGGTTCAATACCTAGAAGTTGAGACTCAAACATTAGTTTTTATAATTTGAATTTCCAGTTTCAGATCATAGAGATCAGAGAAAATGTAACATCATCATATAGCCAGTTTCCAAAGGTGATTCTCTGGTTGTAAAGCAGACTTAAGACTGCAAATAAATGTTTTTTTGCTGCATCAGTTCACTGGAGATTATAGAAGAAAGAATGCCTCTTGTCAACCATGAAGACATCTTATAGTTAAGACCTAAAATTCTGCAGAACTCAGTGATGATTAATGTGCATCATTATTGATTTAATTAGTCCAGCAATGAGATCAGGTAAGAGGACATCTGTGTTTAGTCTTCAATTAAACTCTGAGGTTGGGATGACTTTGTAGATAACGATAGATAGACTTTATGAGACCTAGGTCTCTGGGGAGAATTAAATTGGATCATTTCTTATGACCGTTGCCTTCTCTTGGCTGTTTTTTAAAATGACATTCCTCCCTTTTCAATTCAGGACCTAAAGTTGGATACTTAACATACACCAGATGTGCATGGCACAATGGTAGGTCACCAGCCACAAATGAAAAAGCTGACAGCATGAAACCTGAGGTTAAACCCCAGAACTGGCACAAACAACAAAAATACGCTTTTCTTATGACCTTACCACATAACTCTTGGGTATATATCTGAAGAAGTATGAATCAATAGACAAGAAAGAGATGCATACCCTGTTTGTTGAAGCTCTATCTATAATAGAAACTGGAATCAGCTGAGATACCCAACAACAGAGGAATAAAGAAAATACATTTCTAAACATATGGACTATTTGTCATGAAGAAAATGAAATTGTTTCATTTGCAGGAAAATGGATGATACTGGAGATCATCATGCTGAGTGAGATCGCCACACTCAAGAAGCCAAATATTGCATGGCCTTGTTCATTGGCGAGGTACAGATCAAATGATGACGACGATAATAGTAATGTAATGGGAGATTAATGGAAAAGGTAGACTGTCAAGGTGGGGATCAGTGGGAGAAGCAGGCAAAAAAGGAGGGAATCTGTGGTGAGAGAATTGAAGGATGTTTATGAGTACAGCATAAGAAACTCATCTAATGCTGTTTGAAGGAAGGGGAGGATTGGGAAGGTACTATGGCAGAGGCGATGAATATGTTCAAAGGGCCATGTGTACATTTATGGAAATGCCACAATAACCCCCTAATATTACAAATATATGTTAACTAATACATAAAAGTAAACTTTAACAAAGATAACTTTAGAGCTCCATGGGAGCAGATAACTAAGAGGAGCCATGAGGGCCATCACGTCTGGTGTGTTATTCTGTGACATGAATTGGCTGTGGTGGTGCTAGTCCCAGGACTACAACTAACATTCTGCTTGCAGAAGACTGCAGAACTGTGGGTGCCATAGCTCTGGTACTGTGTCTTGGCAATGTTCCTTAGGAATTCGCTACAAACACAGGTCATGGCCACAGCTATTTATGGCTCCTATCACTGGAGGTTTTTCCTCTTTTCAGGGGGAGGGAGGTTACTGGTCCTGGGTGCTGAGTTTTCTGAGCTTTTCTTCCCAAGGCTAGAGCTCTACCATTTGAGTCCCAGCTCTACTTCTGGCTTTTTTTTTTTTTTTGTAGTTAATTGGAAATAAGGGTCTCACTTTTCTGCCCAGGCTGGTTTCAAACCAAAATCTTCAGATCTCAGCCTTCTGGGTACCGGTAGGATTACAGGTGTGAGACATCTAGACCTTGGCATCACTGAGTTTGATATGCAATTTCTCTGCTCTGGCCTCAGTGTTCCTTGAGCACCGCGACCAGTCTAGTATCTCCTGTTTGCTGTTATTGCTGTTTTTGTGCTGGTACTGGGGCTTGAATTTAGGTCCCGAGTGCTGTCCCTGAACTCTTTATGCTCAAGGCGCTCATGCTCTATGAGCTACAGCTCCACTTCTGACTTTTTGTGATTAAATAGAGGTAAGAGTCTGAGACTTTTCCTGCCCAAGCTGGCTTCCAGCCACAATTCTCAGATCTTAGCCTCATAAGTAGCTAGGATTACAGGTATAAGACATAGGCACCCAGCTATGTCTCCAGGAGACATAGGGACAATGTAGGGACAAATTCCTACATTTATGTTTTATGTTTTGTTCTGCAGTGCCAGAGATTGTACTCAAGCCCTCTTGCATGCTAGGCATGCTAGGCATGAGATGGGTCTTGCAGATTTTACCCAGACTGTCCTTGAACTCCCAATCCTTCTGCCTTCACCTCCGGAGTACCTGAGATTACAGGCATGAACCATTACACTTGGCTGTCAGATCTTCCTTTGGTTTGTACAGATCTTTAACTGGTTTCAGAAATTTTATGAGTATTGGTTGAATAGTTCTAATTAGTGCTTTAATTAGAAAGTTGTGTATAGGTCCTAAACACTCATTTTACTTAGTCCAATTTTAGTGTGGGAACGGAAGGATACTTAAGAAGGCATATTTTACATTATAGTAGAACTTACTTTGTGTGTTTGTTTTGAAACAGGGTTTTGCCATGTAGCCTAAGTAGGATTTCAAATCTTCATCCTCTTGCCTCAGCCTCCTGTGTGCGGAGATTGAGGAGAAACAGTGTGTACTCTCTTCCTAGGGATGGCAGGCAGAATCTCCTCTTCCCACCACCTCTCCTTCTGGGCTTTCTGGGGGCATGGCCTCAGGATCCACATTTCTCCCTTCTGTTAGTGGCTGGGTTCTGCAGTTTGGGGGAGTTGAGTTTAACTCAGGAAAGAAAATATTAGGAAGCATCATAGTGATGGTCTGTTTGTCTTACAGCCTCTGTCAGAATCTATGTCAGTGAAACCTGGTGGGAAGAAGGGGCGGTGTGTAGTGCGGGCCACTTCCAGATCTGAATCAGGAAACAAGCAGCCCGAATGTGACTGGCTGATGAGATCAACAAGACAGAATGGAATCCAGAAAAGCCCAAACACACTCAGACACTTAGCGTCTGGTAAACATGGCATTTCCATGGAAGAGATGAGGTTTCTCAAAATATCATCCCGATGAATCACACATTAAAATAAAACTACGAGGCCCAGAAGAGAATGTGGGAAAACAAGAGTCACTAATTCATTTCCAGTGAGAAACAAAA